TTTCCAGTACTGGAAAAAAAAATCGCGTTTTTCCAGGATTTCTATGACATTCCAGGACGCGTACGAACCCTGACTATGTTCCTGTTGGTGGAGAGGTGACGCATGATGATTTACACGAGAGACACGTTAGAATCACTTGATTACAATAGGGGGAAGTAAAAGGCTTGTGGCATGTGTAAATATAAAGTTTGCATATAGGCGGCAGCAATGAACGATAATAGGGAAGTACCGTATCAGAAATGTAAATCTAAAATAATTAATAAAACTGGATGCAAAACTCCTAATGCCCAGGTGCATAACATAATGGATATGAAAGTTGAATTCGCTGACATTTTAACTCAACATATGGCACTAAAAGATGTTTAATTTCACTTTTACATATTTGAGTTGCATGAAGTTCTAATGCCTAAAACTTTAGATTAATATTTATTTTGCTTATTTTCTTTAAATATATTTTTATTTATTTAAGTTTATTTTTTCTAAAGTGAAACTTATCTTTGTTGGTCATATGACTGAAACACTTAGCAACTTAAAACACGATATTCTGAAAGATTAACAGATTATGCGACGTAACATTTAGTATGATTATTTGTCGAGGTTTTATGAAAAAATAATTCTGTAATTCAAATAATAAAGTAATATCATTTAACTAGCCATCAGTAATTTAGCAGTAAAAGACTAGAGGGAAGGCAGTTAGTCATCACCACCCATCATCAACTCTTGGGCTACTCTTATACAACAAATAATGGGATTGACCACCCATGGCTGAAAGAGTGAGCATGTTTGGTAAGACAGGAATTCAAACCCACATTCTGCAGATTGCGTGTCTAGCAACCTAACCACATGGCCATGCCAGGCTAAACATAACAAACAGAAGAAATTTCACAAGCATACATTAAATCATAAAATACTCACTTTGTCTTTAGGATTCCTTCCTTCATACAAACCCCCAAAAAAATCATAGCCTTTATGACCTTTAGCTACATACAATCTGTCATCTCCTCGCACATTTCGTTTACCTGCAAAACAAAACCTCCGATATCAAAAGAAGATAAACTTACCAAAATTTGTAAATGGTGAATATAAATAAGGCAATTAAAAATAATAATTAAGGGGTGGATTGGTGAGAGATTTATCTACAATTCATTACAGTTGAATAACATCAATTTCAACCACCAGCAGTATGTCAATGTTGAAAAGTCAGATGTAGAAAAATTCAGGTATCATCCACGATTTTGTAACTGTGGATGACAGTCTAAACTTAAAGCATAAAGATTTCAAAACAGTGCATTTCAACCATCGTTAATGTAGAATTATAGTATGCTGGAATTTAAGCACTAATACTCACACTCTTCCACAGTCAGCAAACCGTACACTTCAGTCAAGGCTTCAAGCAGTCGTTTCTCTTCAACAAACGGCAGCAAAGCAACACCTATTGGAAAAGTGTACGTTCATTTAATGTTTAGAGTCAAGTTTAAAGGTTTCATTTAAAGGTTAGTTTTTACTAAAGTTTATAATCTATTTCAGGTACATTAAAATGGTTGTTGTAAAACTCCTAAAGAAAAAAAAGCCAATGTTTCAATAGTTTATCTGTAGTTGTCTTTATTTAGCTTCTTATACGTCTTAAAAGCAAAATCTAAATTATTAAGACTTATACAGAATGAATACTTTGTACTTGTACCATATTAAATATGTATATAACTGTACTTTTACACAACACACACTTGTATGTTAAATGTGTCATTTTTGCCCTTTTAATGAGAAACAACTATTGAATTTTTGGTCATATTAAAATGCATATGTCTACAAAAATTTAAAATAAAGGATCAAGAGTTTTAAATAAAGTGCATTTTATGACTTCCTTGAGATTTTGATACTTCAGTGCTCAGAATGAAACTTGGAGCACTAGTTATCATAAAACTGAACCCAGGTGATCTGCTGAATACTGTCATTGTACAGTTGTGACAGACAGACTGTGTTACCATTTTAATAAGTAACCTACTAAACCTATATTGGTACATTTGAAAAGGTGACTGCTTAAATGTAGAAAAACATTTATTTAAAGTATGGCATGAAAATCACAAAATTATATCTCACTGAAGTAACTGTTTGACAAATCTTGGTATTTCATAGAGTCAAGAAAATAGCTGTATGTGTTAATAATGTTTGGACTACAAAACTTTACACATCTTACCAGTACTGTAAAAATGTGATCTACAAATAAATGACAATATCTGTGAGCTATTTTGTCTTTTCTCTTTCACAAAGAAGATGTCATTTAATGAAATCAAAGTTAGCATTATTGTCTGAAAATACCTTGCCATGCATACTTCTTCCCATTGAGATCGATCTTGAAATCTTCTGGATAAAAATCAATGATTGGTGATTCCTAAAATAAGAAAGAGGATATAATTTAAATAAAATCTGAGTGTTTTAGAGATATTTTAACACTTCATAACTCCTTACAAGAAAAAAACATTACTCTATTATAATTCTCAACTGTATCTATGTAACTACATTTACTTGATCTTTGAACTACTCCCACAATTCTACATTAATTCATATTGTATGTTTGTCTGTGACTCCTCGCACAGTTTTGGAGCTAATAGAACCAATCTTGGTAGGCAGACTTCAGGTGGCACATGTCCTTATCTATATAATGTAGCTTCCCAACCAGAAGGTACTAAGAAGGGCTAAAAAACTTCTGGAAGATCATCAAGATATTATGGTGGTCTAGGATTAGGTTCTCATGGTCATTGAACCTGAATCTGGCATCAGCTTTTGCTTTCGGGGATGCCAAGTTAGAAACTGAGTTCACATCCATACTCACAAGTTGGCACAAATACTCAGATATCATGGATGAGTGTCCCAACAAGGTTTGTTTTTGGCTATGGACCCCCTGTGGGATAACTATAGAAGTAATTGGGGATAATGGAGGAGCCTGATTAGTACACTGGGGCCTTTGTGAATCATGAGGGGTTGATGGAGTCTCACATCGATGAGCAGGTATTTAATTCTCATTTTTGACAATATGACTTGAAATTTTGCATGTAAACTCTTGACTCCCTAAAAAACATAAACATAGAAGAACTTTCCAAAGGAACTATTAGACAGCCCAAAGATGGGTGATTAATATAGTAAGTAGGCTATCAGGTTTGAGTAAATCATTTACTTGAAAACTGGTATTAACGATAATCAAAATTTTGGAAGTTTTTAAATTGAAGGCCTCCTGTAAATGTCAAAAGGGTTCTGAGGACTGAATCCACTGATTTACATGATAAGTTACAAGGGCATATAAAAACATCTTTCAAAATAAGCATCTACATTTAGGTTTCAAAAGTATTTCACATAATTTGAGGACAAAGGGCATTTTGAGGCTCTGAGAGACATTTGCACAGGTTTACATAAAAATTGGCATAGTCATTTAAAAGAAGAAACTTTTTCAAGGAAGTTTTGGGGGTTTTTAGGATCAGCCACATCAATTAATATGTTTAAACTTATTATTCTTTACGCATTTTAAACTAAGTGTATACAGGGTGTCTGAAAAGCCTGAAACCACAGGCACTTCAACACATTTTATAGAATGTGTTCAAAACGATGTCCTTGTAATTCAAAACAGGATTAACTCAACCTTCTCACACTTTGACAGCTCCATTATCAGTCATATATCTAAAATTAAGAAAAGCTGCAAACCACCTATGGTTTCAGAGTTTCTGGACACCCTGTATAAAAATCAAACAACAATAAATAAATTATTTTGATGAATATGAAACATGAATCCAAAGTACATATCAACTACATAAGGGGGAGTTTTATGTTTTACTTTTGAAGTTTTAATACATGTACTATTAACTGAGCTAAGCACTAGTCAAATACTACAATGAGTGTTATTACTGACATGTAGTTATTTTTCTATTTGTAGAATTAAAAAAACGAAAACATACAAAACAATTAAAGCTAGAATGAAAGAGCAACTACATACAGCATCATCCATTAACCTCCCCCAAGGTTCTGGTAGATGTTGCTTACTAGCAGCTGGAAACACTCCCATCAGTTGTTCCAGTGGTTTGAACTACAAGAAGGTTAAAAAAAATACTGTAATAATGCACTAATCTTGTAGATAAAACACAAAACAATAATCAACAGTATTGTTAACAATGACGCTATTACAACACACAAACTAATTACAAGAAAACTGATCTGGACAAAAAAACGAGTCGCATACATCACTATTTGGAATTGTGTAACAGGCACCATAATTGAGTAAATTAATGAAATAAATGTTTGTTTGCAATTATGCACAAAGCTACACAATGGGCTATCTGTGCTCTGCCCACCACGGGTATCGAAACCAGTTTCTAGCGTTGTAAGTCCGCAGACATACTGCTGTGCTACTGGGGAGCATTAATGAAATACTCACTAAACACCACTTTTATCTACATACTGAAGTACTAATTAAATTCTGGATATCTTATCAAAACATATTTATAAATTTAGAATTTTTTTAGAAGTGAAGAAAAGAAATGTGTGATTTACTCTTTAGATAGTGGATGAATGTGAAGTACACTGAAATCAAGCTACAACTATGTTTGGAAATTGTGCAACAAAAATTAAGATACACATTATACAATAAAGAATATACACTTTATTCTAATTATCAATTGGTCTTCTAATAGAATTTTGTGTTAATTAATATACAACTGAAACATTACAGCTAACATTAAAATTCCAAAATAAAGCCTGCATACAAGTTACAACGTGATACCATAGATGTCAGTAAAAATATGCTAAATATTTCTGATTTCATTGTTTGGCCATTTTAATTCCATGCCTTTTTCTTTTTATCTAACTTGTACAGAAAAGTTTGTCAAACTCAAATACTTCAGTTAAATCAATAACAGGAAGAATACTATAATATATTATTTCTTACCAAGCATTCACCTGTAATCACTTGTCTGAATCAATAGATTGAGAAATAGGTGATTTACTACAATGTGCCATCTACATGTAACAATTACAAATAAGTTATCATTTCTGTGTATTTCTTTCTAATACAATATCAAATGTATAATCCACTAGTTTCTGCATTAAAATAATTAACAGAATATGCCTATTTTGCATAAAAGTAATTCCAAATAGTAAAAATTCTATGTATGAAGCTGATATTGTAATTCTATAAGTATTTTCTGACAATATTAAAGCATGTAGAAGAATAGGTCTATCTTAATTCTCATGTACCCTTTAATCTATTTTTGTAACGTTTGTGAAGAACTGATACATAAACATATATTTAACGAAAAATCACATCTTCAAAGTTAAGTAACATATTAAGTTAGAAACGCAACCTGTTGTTTAAGAAGTAATATAGTTAATTATTTTACTTAATACTTCTTACAATCTGAGAACAATCACCTGTGAAATATTTCAAGCAATTATCTAAAAACAATTTCATGTTGATATGACAAGTAATAAGCAAGACAGAAGTAATTATACAGTACCACACCTGTTTCTAAATGTATCTGAAAACAAACCTAATACAGGGAGTGTTGCTTATCTATAAATATAACAGTGTTAATGTCTCTATAATTGAGTTTTCATGAATTTACTCAAAGTGATAATAAGTATGTCAGTCTGTCATGTTATTTTTATGTATAAATATGTACTGGAGAGATGAACGATTTAAGTAATGTTTACCATATTAATTGTAGTTAATTAACTACCTGCTCTTCGCAGTGTTACTGTAAAGTATCATATCAAAGTCCTTAATTACTTCAATAAATCAATGTAACTGCATAGATAAAACTATGATGAATTCAGATTTTTGTATTATTTATAGTACAAGGCTGTAGGTGCTTTGGGAAAGTATTTATTTCATTTTATGTTCTGCACAAGAAAATTATTATAGTCAAGTCAGTGAAACCTTTTACACTCCAATATTTTAGCTCATATAAATAAACATAAACCTGAAAAATAACTTCGTTTTAGCTTAAAACACTAACACATATCAAAGGATATTTTAGCCATGTTGTTAGGATACATTATGATGGAAAATAAAAACTCTATACATAGTCTTTACAATTTTAAAACATCAAGCATGATAATTAAATAACAAGATAATGCCCATGTTAAGAATACTCAGATGCAGCAACTAATACTGGTAAGTAAATTTAAGAGCTTTACAGTATAAGGAAAACGTGGACTGAAATAAAAATAAATTCATTAATTTTCTTAAAGAGGCAGAAATTTGAAAAGCAAATTTTTACATTTGATGATTTTTTTAAACGTACCTTTTAGAGATACAGGTTTCTACCGAAAATCTACAAACTTACAGAAAGTATCTAATTTTCAAAAATGTTTGGCAATTAGTTGTAAACTATAGCAGTGGCTCAAATTAAGAATTAGAGCTTGGAATTCCTTGAGTATTGCTTGTAAAAACTAGCATGCAACTTTTTGAATTTTTTCACAATAAAGATATTACTTGTAGTAACTACATTACTTTTGTCAACATTATATGTTGTATTATATTACTCTTGTTGATTTACATCACACAGATGAAGGAACTGTCAATACATTACATTAAAGTTTTGGGTGTTGTTAGCTCTGAGGAGGATGCAACTGTCTTACAAAAGGATTTGGATTATGTGGTGAGTTAAGCAAATAATGAGCAGGTGGCTTTTATTCATAATAAATGCAAGGTAGTGTATGTGTGGTATTATAATTTGAATTATAAGTATAATTTTGATAGGAATAACTTTAACAGTGTTATGGAAGAAAAAGATCTTTGTGTTCTGGTTGCTCAGTACCTTATGCCATCCCAAGCAATGTGCTGTTGCTAGTGGAAGGGCTTTTAGATTCTATCTACAGAAATATTGAATACAAACCTAAAGAGGTTTTAATGTCATTATATAGATCATTGGTCAAGCCACATTTGGAGTATTAAGTTCAGTTTTGGGCTCTTTTACCTCAGAAAGGACATTGAATTGTTGGAAAGGGTTCAAAGGAGGGCTACTAAGACGATACCTGGGATGAAAAGGTTATCAGATGAGGATAGGGTAAGATCTCTGATCTTGTTTTCTCTTGAAAAAAATAATGATAAGAGGGAATCTGATTGAGGTGTTTAAGATTGTTAAGGGAATTGATAGTGTTGATGCATCATCTTTTTTTTTTTTTTCATATCTAATGGTGAGAATGGTAGAACTAGGGGACAAAATTATAAATTTTGGCATGGAAGAAGTCATCTTCAGCTAAGCC